GTGGGTCGGGGGTTCACAGACTTTTGGCTCCATTGTGTATCATAAACATATAATTACATTAAAAAAGGAAACCTGTCCTCTGATATCAACCTCTACCAAACCCCAGCTGCACTGACCCAAAACAGGGTGACTTTTTTGCCAGTTGTTCCACAAATTTTGCATAATGATAAGGTCAAAACTCATAAAAAAATAAACAAAACGAAACTCCCCTCGTAGTAGGGTTGGTCTACTATGAACGTCTACTATCTTCTATGAGGGGACACAGAGGCCTATGAGGGGGTACAAATCTACATATGAGGGGAGTAGAAATCTACTATGAGGGGGACACAGAGGCCTAAGAGAGGGGTACAAATGATGTGGGGGAGCCAGAGGCAGTATGAGAGGGTCACAGAGGTGCTATGGGGGTAAGGTTGCCACCTGTTTGGGATTCACTCAGACAGTCCGGGTTTGGAATGAGCATTCCGGGTTTCATGGCAGCTGAAACCCAGACAGACTGGGCAATCCAAATTAAGATAGGGGCTACTGGCCCCCCACTGAAAATAGGCTTGACTGTGATATTTACATATGAATGGGTTAGGGAAGAATTTGCATATCAATTAACCACAATATTTACATATAAAATACAGTATATGAATGTGTTGAGACATTCATATACTGTATTTTATATGTAAATATTGTGGTTAATTGATATGCAAATTCTTCACCTCCCCCCTACACTATTGTAGAAGGTGGTAAAGTCTGGCATTCTGGCAGTGTCTTGGCTTGGGAAAGGTATTTCAGCCGTATCTCCTTTATCTGTCAGTGTGTGTGGTTATCAGCCTCTGTGGTATCAGACATATTATGTAGCTCTCTGATGACTTTTTGCAGCCCTCCAGCAGTTTAATTCACTTTAAATATTTCTATTTAAATATAAATATTTCTTTATATTTCTTTACACAGTTTTGCAGCTAACATCTCTGGAAAGGACCTTTTTAGATATAAAATATTGTAAGTTGGGATTTGTTTCATATTTACTTTCAAGAGAAAAAGAAGTGAAACAAATCTACTGTAATCGAGCAAATATTGCATCTATGCTAATTCAGAAATCTCAATCATTTTAAGGTAATTGATGGTCAGTCTATATACACCTCTGTTACATTGCTGGTCAGTGTATACACCTCCCTTACATTGCTGGTCAGTGTATATACCTCTGTTACGTTGCTGGTCAATGTATATACCTCTGTTACATTGGCGGCCAGTGTATATACCTCTGTTACATTGGCGGTCAGTGTATATACCTCCGTTACATTGGCGGTCAGTGTATATAACCCATTTTGACTTGAAGTTTGTGAAAAGCTCCCTAATTGTTACCCAGAAAGTCATAAAATCATGTTAAAGGCTCCAACCTTTCTTAGTCTACCCAAAATGAAATACAAATGAACGGAGCTAACAGTCTCTCCTAAAGAATTAACAACAGCATAAAAAACAAACAAAACATTGAAATGTAATCTTTCCCGGATCTAATAAAAACCAAGAAATCGTTTTGACAGGAGGGGTGGCGATGGATGTGATGACAGGTCCACTTACTCTGCAGGTTTGAGACAGCCAGGAAGCCTCTCCGCTGCTGGTGAAGCCATGGGTGACGAAGCGTGTCTTCCTGGAGGTGCGGAAGTTGGAGGAGGAGATGGTGGAAGGGTTAATGGCGCTGATCACCTGAATGGAGGAGACAACAAAATATTCTATATATTATGGAAACATCGTATAGTACATCCTCAGGTGCGAAACTGTTGTGACCTCAACTTCCCCCTGACCCCACCAGAGGAGCCCACTATTCAGTCAATCTCTGCAGTATTAAAGAAGCTCCAACCTTCAACTCCCCATACCCCAGTAGAATGCTGGATTCAAATGCATTGCCCATTGTCCATTATGAGGGGCTCCCACCATCCCTGTGCTGAGTTTCTGAGTCTGTACACCTGCTGTGCTCATTATGAGGGGCCCCCACCATCCCGGTGCTGAGTTCCCGGGTCTGTACACCTGCTGTGCCCATTATGAGGAGCTCCCACCATCCCTGTGCTGAGTTCCCGGGGTCTATTCACCCGCTATGCCCATTATGAGGACCTCCCACCATCCCTGTGCTGAGTTCCCGGGGTCTATTCACCCGCTATGCCCATTATGAGGACCTCCCACCATCCCTGTGCTGAGTTCCCGGGGTCTATTCACCCGCTATGCCCATTATGAGGACCTCCCACCATCCCTGTGCTGAGTTCCCGGGGTCTATTCACCCGCTATGCCCATTATGAGGACCTCCCACCATCCCTGTGCTGAGTTCCCGGGGTCTATTCACCCGCTATGCCCATTATGAGGACCTCCCACCATCCCTGTGCTGAGTTCCCGGGGTCTATTCACCCGCTATGCCCATTATGAGGACCTCCCACCATCCCTGTGCTGAGTTCCCGGGGTCTATTCACCCGCTATGCCCATTATGAGGACCTCCCACCATCCCTGTGCTGAGTTCCCGGGGTCTATTCACCCGCTATGCCCATTATGAGGACCTCCCACCATCCCTGTGCTGAGTTCCCGGGGTCTATTCACCCGCTATGCCCATTATGAGGACCTCCCACCATCCCTGTGCTGAGTTCCCGGGGTCTATTCACCCGCTATGCCCATTATGAGGACCTCCCACCATCCCTGTGCTGAGTTCCCGGGGTCTATTCACCCGCTATGCCCATTATGAGGACCTCCCACCATCCCTGTGCTGAGTTCCCGGGGTCTATTCACCCGCTATGCCCATTATGAGGACCTCCCACCATCCCTGTGCTGAGTTCCCGGGGTCTATTCACCCGCTATGCCCATTATGAGGACCTCCCACCATCCCTGTGCTGAGTTCCCGGGGTCTATTCACCCGCTATGCCCATTATGAGGACCTCCCACCATCCCTGTGCTGAGTTCCCGGGGTCTATTCACCCGCTATGCCCATTATGAGGACCTCCCACCATCCCTGTGCTGAGTTCCCGGGGTCTATTCACCCGCTATGCCCATTATGAGGACCTCCCACCATCCCTGTGCTGAGTTCCCGGGGTCTATTCACCCGCTATGCCCATTATGAGGACCTCCCACCATCCCTGTGCTGAGTTCCCGGGTCTGTACACCTGCTGTGCCCATTATGAGGAGCTCCCACCATCCCTGTGCTGAGTTCCCGGGGTCTATTCACCCGCTATGCCCATTATGAGGACCTCCCACCATCCCTGTGCTGAGTTCCCGGGTCTGTTCATCCGCTGTTCTCATTATGAGGGGCTCCCCCCATCCCTGTGCTGAGTTCCCGGGTCTGTACACCCGCTGTTCTCATTATGAGGGGCTCCCACCATTCCTGTTGGATTTTTCATTATGGAGAATGTAAGAAGAGGAGGTAGAAGGTGGATGGGGACAGTCAGGAATTTTGTCAGGGGGTCTCTCACAGACATATAAGAAGCCCGGGGCTGCCTCAGGCCAGCAGGCTCCACTTATGACCAGAATATCACTTTCAGATGGAATAGAACATTATTGGTTTCTGTTGGAATCTCTCACCTGGTAGCTGTTTTGGTTGCTCCTGGTATAGAGGAAGAATCGGGTGTTGATCCTCTCCGGGGTCCAGGGCAACTTGGCGGTGGGTCTCTGAACAGAACCTGAATAGGGCCAGGCGTCCGTGAAACATCCCAACCTGTCATAGCAAACGTCAGCGCCTGCCGGGGGTCACAGAGAGGAGTCACTGAAGAGAGGCCCCGAATAACATTAGGCTGAAGTTCAGTCTGCCTGTATTTTTTACTGCCCTGGTCCTTCCCTGACCCTTCTTCATGTGATAATGACATTGTTACTTAAAACCTTTCTGTTTTAATTATATACCTTATTGTAGTATTGGTGATGTCATCACTGGGTCTCTGTGCAATGCAGGCAGATCATGACTGGTGGGAGGGGCCAGCAGGGGACTTTACATAACTTCCTAAAAGTTTCACTGCACCCTGCCTCAGTACTACTTCTCTCAAGAGTCCTTAGCCCTATTGCAGGCAGTGGGCTGGCTCTTGGGAGGAGTTATGCAAATATCAAACCTCCTTGATGGGTGGGTGTCATTCTGGAGGAGTGGGCGGTCCTAGGTTTTGGATTTTAGCTCCATCGTCTTCCTCAGTCTAGGCTACCAAGAGCTTCCTAAACCGTTCTGCACAATGTGATATCACACACACGTCTATGGAGCCTGGCTCACATTTCCATTGACTTCTCCAGCTGGGAAGTTCTGGATTTCGGAGGTTGGTGTGGCAGAGTTCCGCTATCTGCAGGTACAATCTCAGGGTCACGTGATCTCCATCACATCTTATCTACAGACAACCTCACCCTCTCATCATCAACGGCACACCATTGAACTCTTCTCGTTGCCCGTCATCAGATTTTTATAAAATGTATTTATAATTATTAGGAAAAAAATACTCAAAAATTTAATTTCAAAATAAATAAAATTCAGGTAAATAGATACCAAACATGTCATGTTTTCAAATTGCGTCTGCCCGTAAAATGGACAAAAACTGTCATACCCAAAATTGCCCAAAAAGGTGACGCATCTTTTACCGCTGTCCAGGTAACAGTAAATGATTGCTCTCACTCCAATGTTCGTGACGATGTGTAACACGTATGGCACAATTGTCATTTTCGCACATAGGCGTGTTTGCACTTGTATGTGCGTGTACACTGGGGTGGGGGGATTTAAACTTTTTTTTCTTATGTCACGATATGAGGTGACAGGTCCTCTATAAGGAGATATCAAGAGTCTATTAGACCCCTAATGTCACCTATGGACCCCGAAGAAGCTTATAAAGCACAGATCTGCTTCACTAGCTTCTTCTTTGGCAACAGCAGCTGGAGGAATGACAGCCAGAAACTGGAAGTGTGCTGATCCCCCTCCAATCCAGTCTCTGACACCCACAGGGCGGGGCAGCAGCAGGAACGGGGATAGCTGGCACCGGGGTGAGGTTGGTGTTCTGGTTATTGGGGGGTGTCACACTGTGAAGATGTTTACAAGTACAAAAGCCGAGATGTTGCTACATCCACTCCAGCACGGCTTATATATGTATTACAAAGCCGAGATGTTGCTACATCCACTCCAGCACGGCTTATTTATATATTACAAAAGCCGAGATGTTGCTACATCCACTCCAGCACGGCTTATATATGTATTACATAAGCCGAGATGTTGCTACATCCACTCCAGCATGGCTTATATAGGTATTACAAAAGCCGAGATGTTGCTACATCCACTCCAGCACAGCTTATATGTGTATTACAAAAGCCGAGATGTTGCTACATCCACTCCAGCACGGCTTATATATGTATTACATAAGCCGAGATGTTGCTACATCCACTCCAGCATGGCTTATATATGTATTACAAAAGCCGAGATGTTGCTACATCCACCCCAGCACGGCTGATATATGTATTAGGGTCCTGAAGTGGTTACTTGTATGTGTACTGGGAGCTACAGGCTTTGTTGTCAGTGATGTAGATGAGGAGGAGACAATCGATTGGCTGCTGGATAAAACAAGAATACAAAATCTCATATACTAAAAAATACCAAAAAACATTTTTGGTAAATTTGTATTTTTCAGCCCTGACTATAATACATGAAAAGCTGACACACAAGGACGGCGATCCCTAAAAGAAAGTAACAATCATTTTCAGCTTAGTGCAATGAGATCTGGCAATGTCACCACAGACAGAGACTCGTCCTTCCTGAACTGAGCAGATTTCCTGATGTAACCTTTGGTATTTACTGTGTGGGGTGCCACCAGAGTCTGTAGTGGGACTAGGAGTGTTGATCTGCAATGGTGTAATAGCAGTAATCTCTAGTAGCCTCATATAAGACTTCCCCAGTCTCTGTGTGTCTTTCTGCAGTATGCCCCCAGTCTCCATCCTCACCTGTAGTATGCCCCCAGTCTCCATCCTCACCTGCAGTATTCCCCCAGCCTCCATCCTCACCAGCAGTATGCCCCCAGCCTCCATCCTCACCTGCAGTATGTCCCTAGTCTCCATCCTCGCCTGCAATATGCCCCCAGCCTCCATCCTCACCTGCAGTATGCCCCCAGTCTCCATCCTCACCTGCAGTATGCCCCCAGCCTCCATCCTCACCTGCAGTATGTCCCTAGTCTCCATCCTCGCCTGCAATATGCCCCCAGCCTCCATCCTCACCTGTACAATGTCCCCAGTCTCCATCCTCAATTGCAGTATGCCCCCAGTCTCCATCCTCACCTATAGAATGCACCCCAGTCTCCATCCTCACCTGCGGCATGTCCCCAGTCTCTTTTTGCAGCATGTTTGCAGTCTCCATCCTCAGCTGTAGAATTTTCGCAGTCTCCATCCTATTCTGCAGCATGTCCCCAGTCTCCATCCTATTCTGCAGCATCCATCCTATTCTGCAGCATGTCCCCAGTCTCCATCCTCACCTGAAGAATGTCCCCAGTCTCCATCCTCACCTGTAGAATGTCCCCCAGTCTCTGGCAATCATTTCTTTTAGAATGTCTGCAGTCTTCTCTAGCATTACAGGTTCTGAACATTACGTGCAGCCTTATTATGGGTATGTGAGGGGCCACAGTTGAGGGCCCCTATACCTTAAATGTTGACATAAACTTCCTTACTCTATTAAAAAAAAATATATAGGTCTGTCTGTGTCGCTGTTGGAGATTCTTCCTAATTTCCCATCTGGTGAAACCGCTGTCACCAGGCCAGCAAATAACAGTAAATCTCTGGAATGGAGTCCCAGATGGAAGTAAGAACCCCAAAGGGCTTCTAATGTGTCCCCGGTCCATCCAAAACTGAAAGAAAAAGTTCCTCCAAGCTCACTCCCGGGATGGACTACAATCTCAATACAAATGAGTAAACTGAGCATGAGATTGTAGTCCATCCCGAGAGCGGTGACTACTTTACAACACACACAGGGACCATGGGGAACAGACGTAGCCCCCCTCCAGAAGGAAGGACAGTGTCAGAGATGATTGGACGATCTACAGCCGAGTGACACACAAATAAGATACATTGTTGCTCAGTTCAGGGACTTGGAGGGATTTTGTAGGATTTAGTGTCACTTTAAATGTCATATATGTCACACAGTCTGAGGTCTGCAGTCTATCTGGAATCATTCCGCTGTCACCATAAATTAATGTACATATAAAATCTTTTACCTTTGACGGCACCGAGGAAGAAAATCCCGATGATCCAAGCCGGTAACATCTGCAAAGTAAAGAGAAGGGATTTTAGGTGAGGATTGTGTCATTCTTCACCTGTGATGGAATACGATGACTTCCCCTCTCACCTCCATCCTCACTGCACTCCGATCAGCTGCACTCACACCTGCTATCTCTGTATATACATATATATATATATAGAGGTCAGGGGGGAGGGGTGACAGTACAATGACCCCCGGCAGTATTAATCATTAAAGAGAATCTCTTCTTATTGCCACTATTACAATGTGTCATCAGATATCATCCAGAAGAATGAACACCATGCAACTTTGTATTTTATTATTTTATTATTTAAAAGTATTTCTTCTTTCAGTGGATACACGGGGGGGAGGGGGGGGGTGATTCTTATCAAATCGTTTGTCATGAGATTGGTCGTTATCTATTCGGGCGTCATGTTACTTTTAGCTGCTACCCAAAGATTGACAGGAAAACTAAACTAGCAAAAGGGTGCCCAGTCCTGGACGGGCAAGATTATCGGCTATTAACAAAAATGTTTGAAGCTGAACGCCAGACGCAAAAAAAAAAATTTCTTCAACACCCACAAAGGCTATAAACCCACTTTGTGAGCACCAAATGCCTTTGCCAACCCAAATATTACCATATACAAGTGGCAGTGACATCATCACTGCGCTTTACATAGCCTGTGCAGACGGCAGAGCTGTGGGAGGGGCCCAGCAAGCTCCACCCACTACAGGCTGCCCTGGG